TCCATGCTTGGCAAATTTTCTGCCATGACTTCTGTGAACAGGTTTCTTATGTTGTTGTGCTCCCTTCTGATTTTTCATCTATTCCAACCAATCTTATGTTATTCTTTGCATCCCCTAGCAGCTATTGGATTGGTTTTTCATGGTCCGTTGGTATTTTTAAGAAGTCTTTTCTTTGATGATAACTAAACCTGTCATCTAGGTCTGATATTCTGTTGTCACATTGGTTGGTTCTGCTGCATATACTTTCAATAGAATGTTTAATCTCCTGGACATCTGTTTGAATCTGTTTTATGGAATCCAGTTCATTCCTATGTTGAACATTCATGGTTTCCATCACTTTCATAATTCCTCTATTTTTTTTTTATCTGTATCTACTTTAGATTCACTAACCATAGCAATCATTATGGTAATCATCTATTTAATTATGTGTGAGATTTTACTTGATTGTTGTTCTCCAGCCTCATTCATCTGTTCCATTCCTTCTGCTGCTATCATTTCAGAAAGTTTGGTTGGGTTGCTATTGATTTCTTCCACCTCAGTGCCCCTTAAATTTGCCTTTGGGGAGCTGGAGGTCTGGGTTTACATGCTAATTCCATGTCTTCTTATTTTCTATTTTTTGAAATTTCTTGTCTGCATTCATGCTAGTAAATTATTTATGGTATGTAGCTTTGCTGTAATTATTGAGATTTCCTTAGAAAATGACCATTTTCAGAGATATCTTCTTTGTGTAGCTGGCTTTTGGCTTTTGAGTCTGTCTCAAGACCCTGCCTCTTCAATTTTTTAAGGATGTAGAGTTGCTGCCCATTTGGTCTAGCACTCAGTTATTTGGTTTGGACTATAGTATTTTTTTTTAATTCCCCAACTATGTCAATATTGGCATATGAGGGAGAACAATTGATCACAGTAACTGTGTCACCTTGGCTGAAGGCATACAACCAGTAGTCACAATAGCATCAAGCACAGTGTGGAAAATTACACACTGTGGCAACTGTTAATTTGCCATCTTTCACCATAGGTACAAGATTTATGGTTACATAACAAAAATCTAAAATCAGAAAATTATATAAAGTATATAAAACCTTCATAGAGTGTTTTTACCCTCAGAGGAGAAAATTTAAATGTTATCAACATAAATAATAAGAAAATAAAAGAAGAGAGGAGATTGGAAGTGAGGCTGAAGGAGAAGGGCATATTACCCAAGCTTTGGGAAACTGATGAAGAAGACAGGAAGGAAAGGAAAAAGAAAAAAGCCAAAAAGAAGTACTAAACAAAACAAATCTAAAAACAGTGTTCATACTCATAAATACACAAAAGCAAGTAATCAAGAAAAAAACAAAAGCAAAGAAAAAGATTTCTCTGTGATTTCAAGCCTGTGGATACCATCTCAGTTCTATAGTTTGGTGGTGGTGTCCAATCATGGCATGTCTCTGCTGTCCCTGGTAAACAAAGGAGGCAGATAGAGGCCAAATCTGTGCTGGATCATCCCAGCAAGCCTGTAGTAAGATTAGGGTAGGGTGCTGGATAATCCCAGCAAGCCTGCAGTAGGATTAGTGTAGGTGATGATTTGGTCCTTTCTTCTCTACAGAAGTTCATGCTGATCCTGGCCTGTGGTTATGGGATTAGGGCTGGAGTTGTTCTGCCATCAACACTCTGGATGTCTCTTGCTTGCATGATGTTGGCTCCCTGACCCTGGATGTCTCCCATCATTTTCCTTCAGCTAGTCTCTGGGAGCCCAGAAAGGAAGGCAATTCATGGCTGTTCTGAGGCCTGGGTTCAGTTGGCCTCTTCCTAAAATGGTATCTGGCCAAGCACTCTCTCCAGGCAGTGTTTGAGGTGATGTCATTCACCAGCTATTGTAGCTCACAGCATCTACTACTCTGTTCCACTGGTGCATTTCTCTGTGGAGGTCTCTGGAGTCATCCCACTTCACTGTGCCTCTGTAGATTGGAGCCTCCTCTCTCATGCAGTAACCCAGGAATCAGGGAGAAAGTGCAGTTTGCCGCCTCTTTTTTCTGCATTGAAGTCTGTCTCTTCACTTTCCCTGTGGGCTCCAGTTCTTCCTTCAGATGCTTCCTGGCTCAAGGGGACCCACTAAGCACCTTTTTTTCTCCAAGTTGTTATATTCCACTTTCTGGATTCTGAATCTTGGAGAGGATGATTTGGTGCTATTTACCACTCTTGCTCATGTTTCTGAATTGGTAAATTGTGATTGTCTCTATCCACTGGTCTGTCTTTTCTTTTCCTTTTGGTTTTTAGAGATAGACTTTCTCTATATAGTTAACGTTAGTCTTGAACTCACAGTGTTCTTCCTGCTTCAGCCTCCCAAGTGCTGAAATTATAGGCATGTACCACTACAACTGTCTTACTGTTATGTCTTTGCAGGCTTGTTTTGTTAATTTAAAAAATCTGGTGCTGAGGACTGAATTCAGGACCTCATGCATGCTAGGCAAGCACTCTAGTACTGAGCTAAATCACTGATCCCTGTCTTTCCAGTTTAGAGGATAGAGGTTTGCTCTATAACCTCACTTCTTTTATGAATCAAGTAGAGTCATTAGTTTTTCAGTTTCTTCAGTACTTTGATTTTTGTTTAGTGTGGGGTGGTAACTTCTAATTTTTTTAGAGACCAGAAGAGAAACTAGATGTTCTCTTTTTCTATTTTAAAAGAAGGGAAATCAAGTCATAGCAATTGGATTTACTGATGTGTTCAGAGTTAAAGTAATTTAGGACAGGGACTAGAACCATGGTCTTAAGTTATTTAGAACAGATTCAAGACTGATATTTATTTAAACATCTTTTCATTACCAACACAAACACCATCTCATCTCTTAGTACAAATTTTGTCTTTTTGAGACAGGGTCTCACTATGCAATTCAGGCTGACCTTGAGCTCACTTTGTAGCCCAGGGTAGCCTTGAACTCACAACAATCCTCCTGCCTCAGCCTCCTGAGTGCTGGGATTACAGGCATGCGCCACCATGCCCAGCTCTTAGTACAAATTTTGGCAGATTATATATTCTTAGAAAAAATACTACTTCAATCAGATGTTCAGTTTTTTTTTTTTCTGCCACAGGGTCTTGCTATGTAGTTTAGGTTGGCTTTGAACTCACTATGTAGCCCAGGCTGACCTTGAACTAATAATGGCCTCCTCAGACTCCTGGGTGCTGGGATTACAGGTGTGTATTCCCACGCCCAGCTCAGGAGTTCAATTTTAGTTGAGTAATGTTTTGTAAAAAACTTGCTCAGGATTATTTTAATTTCCTCTGGTTCTGGGGCTCTTTCTACCACTCACTTCTAATATCTTTTATTTATCTTGCATAGTGAGAGTCCTCAGTGATTTACCTATTTCACCTTTTATACATATTACTGTGCCTCTCTTCACTGAATGTCCCTACTAGTTGAACTAACACAATTGACTTCTCTGGAGGGCCATCGTGAAAAACACACTTCTAAACCCAAGACCTAGCAATGGAATGTGTAAATGATCCTTGAGAATCACATCATTGAGATTCAGTGATAACCACTTCAGTTGTAATATTCAAATGTTCTGATCAGCTATAGTTACTGGAACAAGGTACAGCCACTATAAGAGGGCAGATTACAATAAGAGTATATCAAAGTATAAAATCTATTTAGAGATGACTTATAAATCTGCGTGAATTTGTTCAGATACTAATTTGTGACGGTGTTCCTTTATTCTCCTGAGAATTGTAGATTTGACTACTGTTTCATCCTTGTTTTCCTCCTGTACTGTTTATACCGAAGTCCTCATGATATAGGTGCTGCTTAACTGAGCTCTCTGCAAATCCCAAGCCAAAAAGAACATTACCTGCCCACCAAACTCTTCCATTTTGAAATAATAGACACTTACACATCATATTATACATGTATATAGGTTCACGTGTGTGTATATATGCAGGTTTGTAATAAATACATGTGTACATTTTAAGCATATGAAAATATTGGATTACTTTTTAAAAAGAATCTAAACTTTCAAACTATATTAAGCCTTTTTTTTTAGATAGGGTCTTGCTATGTAGTACAGGCAGGACTTGAACTTATTATATAGTCCAGGCTGGCCTCAAATTCATAGCAATCCTCCTGCCTCAGCCTCCTGAGCGCTGCGATTACAAGTGTGCACCACCATGCCTGGTTTATATTAGGCCTTATTCTTCTTTGAAGTTAGCAGAAAAGAATAATATCAAGTAGTAGATTATTTTCAGGTCAAATGGTTGCATGTACTTCTATGATCTTGATTTTTTTCCCTTTAATTCTGCCCTGTTCTTTCCGACAGTTCCGCCATACTCAGTCGCTCCTGCAGAGGAAAGAATACCGAAGACCATAACATGCCTTCCAGTTCTGTCTCACTTTCATTTTAAAGATACTGAGTTTCTAAGAGAAGCAGATTCTGAGACAAACTTTGTTATGTTAAGGGTAGTATTGAATTAGGCTTCCTTTGGAGAGGTCGTGTTATTGAATAGATTTAATCTCAGAAAATAATGTTAATGTGCAATGGTAGGATTCCAAGTTTTATTTATTTGATAAAGTATAATTTTAGGTCTATTTAATATATTGTCATAGGAAAAAAAACAAACAGGAAAAACAACAGGAAAAAAAATTTCCTCGGTTCAATTACTCTTTTGCCAATGCAAAAAAAATTTTGAAGGAATAACATTGACACAAGCTTACTTTCTCTTCTGATATGTGTGCATGGTATATCTCCTTTTTGTGCAGTACTTTACGCTTTTCATGATACTTTACATCTGTGTTTTTATTGTTTCTGTGCAACAACCAATAAGTTTTTAAGTAACTTTTTTTCAGAATTTACACAGTAAGCTAGCAGTAGAGAAAGTGGTAGAGTGTAACTCTTGGCTATCATGGTCCTTTTAGTTGTACACTAGAACAGTGGGCTCTTAAGTAATGGGTCTAATTTATCAGTTTTGCTCACATAAGGCTTTTGAGCCAGTTCCTGGATAGCAGTATTGATACTTCATGTCCTCACAGATAAAGAAAGCCAGCGAGAGAAGGAGAAGCTGGAAGCAGAGCTGGCCACTGCCCGTTCTACCAATGAGGACCAGAGGCGACACATTGAAATCCGAGACCAGGCCCTGAGCAACGCACAGGCCAAGGTGGTGAAGCTGGAGGAAGAGGTACAGTTTCCATGTGAACCAAGGGTAGCAGAGTGGGGTAAACAAGGCCAGTAGACCTCCTGCCATGATGAATTGGCAGTTAGCATAATCTTCCAAAGAGGTGGCACTGTCTTCTGGTTCTAGTTATAGCTGTGCTGATGTGAGTAGACTTTGATTTCTTTTCTCTTCTCTGTAAATTACTTTCTTTTGCTCTAGAATTGGATATCACTACAGCCAAAGGGCAATTTCCATTTGCTCATTTGTATAATAAGCTAATCACTCTTATACTCAAAGTTCTTCATGTATACCTAGCTCCCTACCTTGATAGATAGATAGATAGATAGATAGATAGATAGATAGATAGATAGATCCTAGTTCTTACAGAGATTTAAAACTTTATTTTGGAAGAACTATAAAGTGGTTCCAGATTTTAAAGTCACTCAATGATCTTGAAATTAGAACGACTGTTGTCTCTTCACACTTAGTGAGAAATCAGTCCCCTTATAGGTAATAACGCATGTTGATGACCATCCCTTGTGTTATTGGACTTGGCAGATTAGTTTGAGCATAGAAGCAGTCTTGGGAGATCTGGGATAGGATAAGACCCAGAGATACTTTGCAGTTTATGTCTAGAGAATTTACTGCGTAAGATAGCTACTGTGGTTTAGTGACTCGTGTTTAGAGTGTAATTATGTGATGTGAATAAATTGACAGTCATGTGTACAAGGATGGAGCTTTCCCTTGATAATGCAAAGGCTCCTAAACTGTGAAACGTATGATTGATATGCATCTGAATAGTCTCTATGTGCAAGCTACTGGATTGTAATAATAAACTCTGTTTAGGTAAAATAGAGGGAGCTTTCCTGCTAGATTATCATTAATTAATCTTGGATGTCAGTTGTCATTGTACAGGGATACAACTAACTCTTAAGATGCTTTATAGTTCCACAAATAAGTGTATTCCAGCCAAATGTTGATGCCAAAGTGTAATTCAGTTAATTTTTTAATATCTCACTAAATTCTTTTGGGTAATCTGAATTGTTTTTAGGGGAAATACAAGTTAAGAATTTCATAAATCTGAGACAAAATTAAAATGTTAGTGACTCTATTTTTCCCACCTTCATTCATTGCTTGCTTCCAGTCCTACAGTAAGAATGGTTGTATTTTCTGGATATCTTCTGATTTACAGATTTCTTCTGCTTTCCTTTTTTGGGTATTAAAATGTTTGTTGGAGTTGAGTTGTAGTTTCATACTTTACCAGGCCATAATGTCATCTAATTCCTGATGTCTTTTAGCCTGACTTGCTTAAGTGTTCAATTTAGGTTTCATGCTGGGTGCACACCTGTAATCCCAGCACTTGGGAGGCTGAGGCAGGAGGATCACTGTGAGTTCAAGGCCAGCCTGAGCTATGTAACGAGAACCTGCCTCAAAAAAATTTAAGTTTCATAAAATCAGGTTAATATCTTACTTTATTACTTACTTGTTTCATAAATATGAAGAGACAACAGTCGTTCTAAGTTGCTTCATGGAAAATGAGAGAGATTTATATTTGCCTGATGTCTAGGTCTAAGGAGCATAGCATACCCCTTGGGTTTTTGTTACACTTTGGGATATATTTCCTTTCTTCCTTCCCTTTTCTTTCTTTGCAAGGAAATTCCATAGTGAATCACACTCCAGGACAAGACTGTACTCTTTTAAAGAAGGGTGAACTGAGAGGTAGTAGCTTATTGGTCGTCACATAGCACTTCTTCAGTAGAACCAGGAATAAAACTGTTATCTTATGACTCTTCTTTCCCTAGACCCTGCTGCCTGTCTCCCAGTCTGAATCATCCCTTGGCTCAGCTCCCAAAAAGAAAATGTGGGTGCTTGTTAAGACTTAGCAACTATGGCTCCTTTTAAAATTACTTTTATCAAGAGATAAAAGTTGTACATCTTAATGGGGTACAGTGTGATCTTTTGATACATTCTGTACATTGCATATTGATTGACTGAGGATTATTAAGTTAGCCATTCATCCCAAATGTGTCATTTGACTGTGATGAGAACATTCAGAAATCCTCTCTTGTAGCTATTTTGAGTTACATAATACAGTATCATTAACTATACTCATCTTCTGTGGAAAGCAATACGAGAATTTAACTCCTTCTATCTTGCTGTGATTTTGTACCCATTACTCCCCCAACCCCCATAGCCTTCCATCCTCTGCACCTTTTTCATTGCTTTACACTTTAGGCCTCTCAAAAGACTATGAGCAGCCTCTCCAGACTGCTTTGAGATTGGGATATATTGACAGCCCTGCTGCCCCTCTGGGAAAGGTACCCATCCAGCTGGAAATAAGTGGGCACAAAGACTATCCCTTTCTTGGTTTGTAGCACCCAGAGACCCAGTGGTAACTGCTTGTTCATCATGGAAATAACCTATGTGTGGGAAGATGTTCACATGTCATTCCTGCTGGACAGCCTTTGTTCAAGTGGTTGCCTGAGCAGTATTTCCGGCTTCCAATTTCTAAGGCTTTGCTGGGCTTTTGTTCCAGAAATTTTTAGTAGTTTTTCAGAGGATTACCCCAAAGTGTGTACCTTCACTATTTAAAGAAATTATAAATACTGGCTAGGACTAATTGAATTGTATCTGGTGGCTAGATATCTCAAATAAACTCATTATTCTTAATTTCATCCAAGTACTCTCATATGGAGTCATTGTTGGGAAACTTAGTTTTGCTATTACTAAAGGAGATGGGACCTTTGACTGGGAGAGTGTCTTGGTTACTTTTCTCTCGTTGCTGGGACAAAATACCTCATGCCCAAAATTTAGAAGGAAAAGTTTATTTTGCTTACAGTCTGTGGAGGTTTCAGTCCATACTTGGCAGATTACAAGGCAGAGTGGCACATGGCAGAGGGCTACAGCTCATGGCGACAGAACACAGCAAAGCAACAAGCACACACAAGGGAGGAAATGGGCAGAGGCACCCTCTTCCTCTCCTTTACATATGCAAACTATCCACCCCAGGGCGGGTGTAGCTCTCACACCCATAATCAATCAAACTCTGAAAGCCTGCCCCATGGCCACATGAGGCTTTGGGGGGACACCCAGACACAAACCATAACAGAGAGTAAGCCTACAGCCCTCTCTCTAAACCAGTGAAGTCTTAGAGGCCATGTAACATCTTCTAGACTCTGAAGTTGGATTGCTTCCATCATGTATAAAGCCTCACAAGATCATGTCTAAGGAAAAATAAGCTGGTTCTTTGGTTTTTTTCTGCCTTGTTTTAGTAACTGGGCAGAGCTGGACTTGATCCTAGGTATTGTTCGCCCTCTCCCCCCAATACTATTGAAAGGAAAACGTCCCTTTCTCTCATCCTTGAACAGGAATTTCTAAGTAAAGTTTTACTGTTCTCCTGTGACACAGTCTATGCTAGGCTTCAGTCATTCTGAGGTAGAATTTCTAAGTTGCAGCATTGACAGCTTTGGAGCAGATCTGTAAGGGATGTTCATTATGGTTTCTTCACAAAATCAGTGAACATTTCTAACCCAAGAAGAGTGGTGGAGATGGTTCAGGGAAGGCCATGTTTTTGTTTGATGTTTTTGGCTTTGTTTTGAGACAGGATCTGGCTGTGTAGCTCAGGGTGCCTTCATGGTACACTTGCTATCCAGTCTAGACTGGGCTCAAACATGCAATACTCTTGCTTCAGTTTCATGAGTGCTAGGACTATAGGGATACAGTACCATGCCCGAGTTAACAAAGGCTGTGTTTGAAGAGAGATAGATTATGCTAGATGACCTACCTGTGTCTCATGTTATCACGTACGTTAGTTGTGGTTCACTAATCAACCACAAACTTTTTTTTCAGGCCTTCAAAGTTCTAGTGAAAACCTCTTAGTCTGCTTAATAAATCATAATTAGGACAACCTTCTCAGAATAGATCTTTTGTGGGAGGAGTGTTTTCTCAGTTCTCAAATTCCAGGGTCACTCAGCTAACTAGTTTTCATTAAATCAAGATGATCAAGGAAGGAATAGCTGCATTCCCTAAAATTCATTCCATCTTCTTAATCCCATTAAGTCTCTTGCCTAGGGTTCTTTACAATCACTATGTTCTAAACTCCACACAGAAACGTTGCCTCAGACACACAGAAAACTTTCTCCTGAAATCACTGCTTCCATCCTCTTCCAAGTTCAATACAGATTCTTTCAAATGGGCCCTGCTTTGCTGATGTCCAAGGGGGTATCTTGCTTGGGAGGCAATAGACCTGTTTCCTTTGTGAGTCACTGTCATCCAGTCCTTGACATCGGTCTACAGCCTGTGTAACAGGCAGCCAAATGAAGAGGTAAATGGTGCCTTTCCGTTCTTGCCCTTATCTTTCGGGACACGTAGGTCCTATTGAAGTGGAGGCTCATTAAACTTCAAATCAAAAGAGCTCTGTGTTCTACAACAACCACGGTATTCTCTCATCAAAGAGAACCTTCCCACCCCCCTACCAATTTAACCTCACTGGAGAGTTTCCACAGATGCCTGGCATATCCTCTCAAAGGGCTCAAGGCAGCCCAGGCTTCTGGCTGGCTGCTGTTTTAGGAGAATCCAGAGTTGAAGCCATCTCTTGGGTAACTGTATTTCAGGGATGGTGGGAAAAGGACCTTGACAAGATCAAAGAGGGAAGATGCTGCGGGTGGGCTGCTTACTGAGCAGAGCGCATAAGAAGGGAGAAAGCAGAGCATGGGAGGGCTGGCAAAAGACCCAGTAAGCCTTGTTCTTTGGTTTTAGTCTAGAGCAAAAGCCTTGGAGATTCACAGAGAGACCCAGTTATTAAGCATTTCTGAACTGTAGTGTGTGGTGATCATTTTAGACATTATATCAGTAGCTTTTGTTGCTACACCTAGTATATTTTCTGAAGTCCTATTTCTACCCCACCCAGTTCTCCAAATCTAACTTTACCTCATTTTACTCCATTTCCACTAGTCCTCATAAAAACTGATGTTTTTCTATTTTCTAGATCCTTTGTTACTTACTTTTTTCTTAGTTTTTAAAAG